CATGCATGCATGCATAGTGTCTTTTACGAGTTTCACACATGTGAATAAACAATTATTTTAGCAGCAAAGGACATTGACTCCCTGTCCTCATACATTTTGCAGACTGAAGCAACAATCTGTGTACTTGGTATTTTTCACAGACCTAGACCCTGCGTATGTATTTTCTTCCAAATATCTTCCAAAATACAGAATTATAATGTATAAGGGAACTGTAAGACTCTTTTGTTCAAGCACAGTGGAGTGTAGGATGCAAATTGCCACCAGAGAAATGTCATTAAGTGTGCTGCATGGCACTGGGTTGAAAACTACTTACAGTATGAGTAGCAAAGTAAAACATGCATGTAAATACAAGTTTGGTACTGATCACCAAAACTCCTTTGTTGGAACTCATTTTGTTTATGAACTGAAAGGGAATGTTTTGACAATTCTTACTCTCTGCTTTCAGCTACCCATCCCTTGGGAATGCAGGCAAGCATGGATGCTTTTATGGAGTCGTGCAGTGCTGACAATATTAATTGCACTTCTCATGTAACTGTGTCTGAAGTGATAGAAGGTAAATAGGATTACTGAACCCAGAAGTCTGGGGAGATACTGGGGGAAATGAGGAGAAATGTTGCATTCTTTACTTAGCATTTTGACAGAACATCTGGGATTATGTTAGTCCATGACTCAGAGCAGGAAAACAAAAAGGTATAGGGTCTCCTAATATCTTGGTTAAGATGCTAGACTGATTTGCTGACATTCATTTCTTGCAGCATAATAAGACAGAAAAGATATGTCATTCTGCACTCGAGGCCGTACTGCCTAAGTAAGTAATAGTATAGAAACTCAGTATAGAAAAATATTCAGTGGAGGGTTACTGAAAGCTACTTCAATATCTTCCTCATTTATGTTGAAAAGGAATAGCCAGAGAAGTCAAATGTACTTGGAATATCATTAGAGTGAGTAGCAAAGATATACTGAACCCAAAGCTCTGAGGTTTAAGGAGAAGTCCCAGTTCTGTCCTCCTTCACTGAGGATTGCTTTGCTTGTGTTCCAGAAGAGGATGGTGATAACACAGAGCGTGCCTGTGACACACTGCTCATGTGTATAGTCACAGTGCTGAATCATGGCCTGAGAAATGGAGGTGGTGTGGGCGACATCCTCAGGAAACCATCAAAAGATGTGAGTTCATTTTGGGCAACTTCTGTAAGGAACAGCTGGCTGACAGTTAATACAAGCATCCGTGTAAAGCAAGAATGGACAGCCTTCAGATGTCTCAGGGTAGCACATGCCCAC